GCCTTGGTCTCAGTTTTCCCATCTGTAAAATGCAGGGGGATGGGTCAGCTGGTCTCCATAGTCCATTCCAGTTCTGTATCTATGAATTTATGAATCTGAAGCCTGGCCCAGTGGAAAGAGGAGTGGGCAGAGAGGCAGGAGAGACTCGGTTTCCATTCTTGGCCCCTTAACATGGTAGGAGGCCTCTTGGAGGTAGTGTAGCTCAATGGATGGAGCACTGGCCCTGGAATTAGAAAACCGAGTTTTAGTCCTGACTATGGCATGCCAACTTCATAAACCTAAGGCAAGTCAAGATGTCCCCATGGACTCTGGGTTCATGCAGATCTGGGTCTAACGGGGGCCTGACCCCACTGGGGTCTCCGTCCTTTTGCCTTATCAATGCTCTCACCCTGGAGTAGAAATCCAGGGAAATACATTTTTCAAAGTTGATCTGTAGCTCCTGTGAACAGTTTACCCAGATGTAAGTTGTGTATCCATATGTATTCTATGAGCATATGAGAACTAGCATTTATATAAAGGTTTAAGATTTGCAAAGCACTTTACAAATACTATCCCATTTGATCTTCGCAACAGCCCTCAGAGATAGATGCAATTATTGTTCTTGTACAGATGAGGAAACTGAGGCAGGCAGAGATTAATTGATTTGTCACAGACCTAGTCAGTATCTGAGGTTCAATTTGATCACAGGTCTTCTGGTCTCCCAGTGTGACACTCTCCGTTGTACAATGTAGATGAAAGTTGCTGCGTACCCCCCAAAAATATTCTTCACTCTCATAGAAGCCCTCCCAATGAGGGATATAGTCTAACTCAGCTGGTCCTCTGCCATAGGCATGTTGTCAGGTCCCAGAGACCAGTAAGAGGAAGTATTTTCATGAGTTTCTCATTGGTGCCAACAAACAGTCTGGTATAGTGGGCATTACAGGTATTATTATGACCATTTTACAGATGAGGAGATTGAGGCCCCAGGAAGGATTAGTGACTTCCCCAGTGTAGGAGGGCAATTAATTTTTTTAAAAGAGCAGAAACTTGGAGGCAGGATGGTGAGAGGCTCATCTGAGGGATGGCCAGGATGCCATTTTCTAGTTGAGGAACAGAGAGAAATGAAGATGAGTCATCAACGGACCCTCCCCCCAGCCTTGGGTTATCTGTTAATGAGCAGCATGTGATGATGGCCCACGTTAGAGGCACTGCAGGAGGGCAGCTGTGCCAACCACATCGGCTGAAGGGTTTGGCACAGAGGGGCCCTAACATGGCAAAAGCAGAAAATAGCTCTGGGCATTCAAACTGGGACACGGTTAAAAATGTTCCATCTGTGCCCTGGGTGGATCTGTGGGCGCCTTTGCTCCTCGGCGTGGGTGGCAGGGTTGGCCTGGCTCCTTGGCAGAGTGCAGCCCTTCCCTTGGCGCCTACAAGAGCCTCCCACCTGTTCACTAACAGGGACCATCCCTCCCACCCCTCAACAGCCTGAGCTTAGAATATATTTTTGGCAGGGGCAAGTCACAGTTTCCCAGGCACTCCTGGCCCTTGGAAACCAGAAAAAACTCACTTTCCATGGCATCTTCAGCATCAAGGATGGCATCAGATGGCAAATGGGATAGAAAGATAGTGTGGAATTTTTTTAAGCAATGGAATTTGGGAGTTCAGGGTTCCAATCCACCTCTAATGTCTAATGTCAATGGACCATATATTTAGGGCTAACAGGGACCTTAGAACCCCCTTGTTTTACATATGAGGAAAGTCAGAGGTGATAAGTGTTCACAGGACTCTAGATTTGATGTTGAAAGAGATCTCAGAGATTGTCTTATCCCTCATGCTCATTTTACAACCTAGGAAACTGAGGCCCAGATTGGTGAGGTGAATTGTCCTTGGTTATGTAGGTCATGAAGTAGCCATATCGGGATTTGAGCCAGGGTCCTCCATCTCCAAATCCAGCATTCTAATGTGGGCAGATCCCTAAGCCTTAGTGACTTCACCTGTAAACTAGAGATTAAGAACACTCACAGTGCTGACCTCGCCAGGTTTTTGTAGGGCTCTGAGATAATGTGGTCACTCAGTAAACATTTATGAAGCGCTCACTATGTTCCAGGCACTGTTAACTGCTGAAGACACAAAGGAAAAACAAACAAACAAACAAATAAATAATCAAACAAAAAAACAGTTCCTGCCCTCAGGGAGCTTATAATCTATTTGGGGAAACAACATGTAAATAACAAAAGTTACACACAAGATAAATTACATATAGAGAAGATAGATGATGGTCTGAAAGAAGAATGTGTAAATAATGTATATATCACACATTACAAACTTTAAAGGTATAAGTCGTCTGTACAACCAACAAATATTTTTTTTGGGGGGAGAGGGTAAGGGGAGGGTAGTGAGGGGAAAGAGCACCTATGATTTCATAGGTCAAACAGTAGATAAGAGTTCTGGACTTGGAATCAGGAAGGCCCTAGTTCCAATCCTGCCTCAGACTTTATTAGCAGTGTGACCCCAGGCAAGTTACTTAACCTCTGCTAGTCTCACTTTCTTCATCTGTAAAATGGGGATAATTTTCATACCTACCTCAGTAGGGTCAATGAGATAACATATATAAATCACTTTGCAAACCTTGAATCACTATGTAAGTGCTATTATTATTATTATTATTATTATTATTATTATTATTATTACAGGACTCCCTGTATTCACACACATCCAAATCACCAATTAATTGCTTTCCAATTTATACTCCTAGAGATATGCCTAGGGCACCAAGAGTTTCAATGACCTGCCCAAGGTCACACAGTCAGTCTGGCAGGGATCTGCCAGCTGGGCTGGTATAAGCCTCTGGTTTTACAGGGATGCCCAAGTGGGCAAGATGGCTATTCCTAGCCATGGTCTCTTGGTTCTCCTGGAATTGAAGGCCTCCACATTTTAACAGGCTCATTATTCTGTGGCCAACGTAGTTGTCTTTAATCGTCTGACCGATGGAATTCTCCCTCTCTCCTGACCCACTCCCCCAAAGAGGGGCTCCTTCCTGTTGGTTATACAAATATCCACCTTCTTCAATCACTATTGAAGTAAGCATTTATCAAGAGCATGCCAGATACCAGGCAGTGTTCAAGGTACTGAAGGTAGAAAGATCAAAATGAAACAAACCCTGCCTTCAGGGAGCTTACATTCTTCTAGGGGGAAACAGCCTATATATAATGAAGTAAATGCAGGCTAATAGTTAATCTGTTAATTTATTAAATGCCAACACTGTGCTGGGCCCTGGGTGTGTAAAGACAGAAAGGATTTAGTCCCTGCCCTCATGAAGCTTACAGTCTACAGCAAGGGTTCTTAACTTGTTTTGTATCATGGACCCCTGCCCCTTTGACAGTCTGGTGAAGCCCGTGGAACCCTTCTAAGAAAGCTGTTTTTAAATGCACACATTTTTAAAAAGAAAGTATTACAAAGGCAACCAATTATAGGCAAATAAAGTTATCAAAATATCTTTACAAATAAACAGGTTAATGGATCCCAGGTTAAAAACTGCTGTCCCAGAGATGAATGGGGAATGAAGGAAAGAGAAATGTCTCCTATAGAAAGTAGGATCTGAGCTGACTCTTGAAGAAGCTAGAGAAATTAAGACTCAGATATGAGAAGGTAGAATATTCCAGGCATGGAGGATGGCCAGTGTAAAAACATGGAGGTCGAAGGCAGGAGTGTTGTGTTCAAAGAAGTACGGGCAGGCCAATGTTGCTGGCTCACAGAATACAAGGAGAGGAGTGAACAAATCCAGGAAGGAGTGGTCAGAGAGCTAGGAGGAGAACTAGGACAGAGTGGTGTCCTGAAAATCCACAAAAGATTTTCCACACCCATCCATATCCATCATCATCCAGGTTGCTTTCCTCTGCTCACACTCCTGCTTTTATACAAATACTATTCCAAGGATATACAGCTCAGGATTGAACACAATACTCAAGTTGTGGTCTGACCACATCTGCTTAGAATCCTAGGATCATGATGACCAACTTGGATAAACTTAGCTCTTCTCAGTAATGCAATGATCTAAGACAATTCTAAAAGATTTGTGATGGAAAATGCTATCCACACTCAGAGAAAGAACTATGGAGTCTGAATGCAGATCAAAACAGACTATTTTCTCTTCATTTTTAGGCAATCAGGGTTAAGTGACTTTCCCAGGGTCACACAGCTAGTAAATGTCAAGTGTTTGGTCTGAGGCTAGATTTGAACTCAGGTCCTCCTGACTTCAGGGCCAGTGATCTATCCACTGCACCACCTATCTGCCCTTTTTTTTTTCTTTCTTGTGGTTTTTCCCTTTTGTTCTGATTCTTCTTTCACAACATGACTAATGTGGAAATATGTTTAATATGATTGTACATATATAACTTATATCAGATTGCATGCTGTCTTGAGGAAGGGGTGAAATTTAGAACTCAAAATCTTATAAAAGTGAATGTTGAAAACTAAAAGTAAATTAATTAATTAATTAATTAATTAATTAATAAAAAAAGGACCTTGAGATCATTCCAGAGCTGGAAGGGACGTCAGAGGTCACCTAAGCCAATCCCCTTCATTTTGCAGATGGGGAAGCCCAAGGCCCTTGTAACTTGTGTAACAAGGACATACAGATAGTAGTAAGCGTCAGAGGCAGGGTTTGAACCAGCATCTGACTCCAGTGTTCTTTCCATGTAGCCACATAGACTCATTTTTCCATCTATCGCTTGCTTATCTTTCCCGACGAGCTTTCATCACCTACCTACTATTTGTGAGGCACGCGTCTGGACACCATGGGGGTAGGGGAATGGAGAAGTGGAAGACAAGTTCCCAAGGAGGTTCTTATCACAGCTCCGCTGACTTCATATACTTGCCAGTGGGAAATGGGGTAATCGGGGAAAAAAAAAAAAAGAGATCTCTGCTGATTCCCAAAGCCTCGGGCAAGGAGAGGCCTCCCTAGTCTTCTGGAATGATGATTCTCTGGGCACGCTGACAAGTTGTATTTTTCTCTCCTCTAGGCAGACATGAAGAAAAGCAACAAGAAGGGGGAATTGTTTCCAAAAACTTCACAAAGAAAATCCAGTACGTATCTGCCAAGAGGTTTTGGTGTGCTCTGTGGGGTAGTCCCAGGTTCAAGTCGTTCTGAGTCTAGCAGAAAGAAATAGCTTTCTGAGTGTTTGTCATCAGAAGCCTTGGGTTTCCAGCCACAGATCTCTTAGTCACAGGAAAAGAAAATCCGGAGATGAGGTAGTCTCTTTAGCCTGGGTACAATATGTCCTGAATGAGGAGAGCTGACAGTCTTTCTGTCCTCTGCACTGGATGGAGCACAGCTCTGAGAGTGGCATTCAGCAAAGTCCTGGAGAAGCTGGGGGTGCATCCAGAGGATGGCAAGAGGCCTAGAGAATTTCCCATGTAAGGTCAACCCAGGGAGCTAGAGGTCATAGCTTGAGAGCCAGAAAGAATCTCAGGGGCCATCTTCCTCACCTGTCCAGCGTCAAACAGCTATTTTGTTGAGCAGCTAGATGACGTGATGGGTAGAGTCAGACTTGGAGTCAGGAAGGCTTGGGTTAGAATCTTGCCTCAGGAACTTACAGTGTGATCCTAGGTAAGTCATGTAGCCTCTCTGGGCCTCAGTTTCCTATCTGTAAAGTGAAGGGTTTAGTGGTCCCTCCCAACTAAGAACCCTTCCAGGCATAAATCCTGGGACCCTCTGGCTTTAGCTTCTTCCCTAAAATGAGGCTAATAAACCCGGCCCAGTTCACTTCAGAGAGCTGAGGTGAGGATCAAAAGAAGGAATGCATGGGAAAGAGCTCTGTAAATTCTCAGAGCACGATACTTCCATGAATGCGAGGTAATACAGGCCTCTGTGGGGATCAGGAATTCGAAGCAGACCATTCTCTCAGCTCTTTCCCTCTCTCAGAGGGGATCTATCTTTGAGGCTTAAGGGGCCCTGCTCTGTGAATAGGGGGCCAGTCTGGGCACACTCCTCCAAGAGCTTATGACCCCCAAGCTGAATGGGCAGATGATGGCTGGCACCTAGAAAGTGGGTTAGGAGAGTGGCAAACATTCCAGGTCTGGAACACAATATTCAAGGTCACAGATGGGAAGAGCAGGGCAGAGAGCAAAGGAATTGGAGAAGCCCAGACTCAGGGGAACCTGATTGGAGGGCAGCAACGGGGGATCTGCATATATCCAAGGGCCGAAGCCACTGGACCCTTAGATAACATTCTCCAGAGTCAGGTGCTGGGGCAGGCCTGCACAACCTGCAGCCGGCAGGCCACTTGCCATCCTCCTCATTCTTCCAGGGCCACCCCTGAAATCCTTTGTGCGTGGCAAGCAGCCCTCGGGCCACCGGTTGTGCAGGCCTCTGGTAAAGCAGCCACCAAAGCCTAGGACAGGGTAAGGAGACCACCTGCATGCTGGGCTTCCAGGAGGAAAAATAGCAAATAATGGTTAGCATTTATATTGTGTTTTATGTTTGCAAAACCCCCTTTGAACACTACTCATCTGATCCTTACCATGACCCTAAAAGGTAGGTGCTATTGCCATTTTACAGATGAAGAAACTGAGGTAGACAGAAGTTAAGTGACTTGCCCAAGGTCACACAGCTAGGAAGTGTTTGGGACAGAATCTGAATTTCAGTCTCTCCTCTTCTCCACTCTCTTCTCTCTTTTCCTCTTTATCTCCTCATGCTGTGTTTCTTGGGAAAACCATACAAATCCTCAGGAGTTGAAAGAATCTCTAATGATAGAAAAAGAACTCTGGTTTTGCAGTAAAAAGAACTAGGTTCATATTCCAGCTTTTCTACTTACTACTTGTGAGTCGTGTCCCCTCTCTGGGCCTCAGTTACCAGGTACCTTCCGGCTCTAAATCCCATACAAATACACGGCATCAAACTGGGTGTCTCCTAATTTGTTCAAACCAACAGCTTCCGTTCTCTGCTGCCAGGTTCAGCCTGAGCAGGCTCTGAGCAGAAACCAAGGGCTCCCTAGCTTGTTGACCAAATGATCCCTTCCCTGTGGCACCGAAACATTCAACTGGGGTGGGGGGTGTCTAGCAAAAGGAGAGGGTGGCCAAGCATCCCCTCTGCCCACTATGGATTTCTCCCTTTGCCAGCTCCAACCCCCAGCTTAAAACTTTTCAGGGATCTCAACAGCTCAAACCCCACCATGTCCCTTCCCCTGGCACCCCTATACACATACAGAATATACTTAGAACTAAGGAGGCTGTAAACCAGTCTTTCCATAACATTAAGCGCCTACATGTTCCACGCACCATAATAAGCACTGTCTCTCTCTGCCTGTGTATGCGTCCCAGTCTCTTTCTGTGTCTTTTTCTATTTTTCTGTCTTGGTCCACTCTCTTTCTCTCTCTCCCCCTCTCTGTTTTTCTGTCTCACTCACTCTCTCCCCTACCCCTCTATCTCTCTCTCTGCCTCTCTCTCTTTCCCTCCTTCTCTCTCTCTCTTCCTCTCTCTCTTTCCCTCCTTCTCTCTCTCTCTCTCTCTTCCTCTCTCCCTTTCTCTCTCCCTCCCCTTCTCTCTCCCTCTCTCTCTTTCCCTCCTTCTCTCTCTCTTCCTCTCTCTCTCATCTCTCCCCATGTAGGCTCCTGGTACTTTATGCTGCCTTCACCTCCTCCTCCTCCTCTTCCTCCTCCTTCTCCTTTTGAAACTCAGAATTTGATAAAGCTCCAAACAAAGGCTTTATGGCTCATTCAGCCCCAGTCTCCCTGTGCCTCTCTCACTGGATATTGAGATCAGATGAAATGTGTCCCCATAGGGCAAATGAAGGGAAAATGGAGAGAGAGATAACTGAAATCTGGAGAGGAGACTGATGAAAAACCTCCAAGGATTAAGACAAACCCTCTGGGGGGGGGAGGGAAAAAAAAGATGGGGTGGAGAAGGAGAGGGGAGAAAGAGAGAGACTATCTTTAAAAAGCTGCCTATTCAATTCATTTTCCCGTGCAAATTGTCCTCAGAAAATGACTTTGTTGAAAAAGTACCTCAACAAGATGGCAATCTTGGAGCCGCCTGGCAGGCTCAGACAGCTGGGCTCCCAGAGGATGGAATGGCAGGGCTGAAACTGGGGGTCCAGTGGACTCTCTCTCTCTCTCACTCTCCTATTCTCCTATTGTCATCTCAGAGCCCCTCTCTTTTCACTTTGGTGCCGCTTTCCTAAAAATGTCATGGTGCCTCTGCCCAAGTGTGAGCATCTCTTGACAAGCTGCTGATGGCCAGGTCTTGTGGCAACACAAATCGCCACCTTGGCTTGCCCCTAAGTGGTTCAGTAGACTAACAGACCATCCCTGATAGGACGATATCTTGGTTTGGGAGCTCTCTCCAGGTGAGTGTTTAAAAAAAAGTGCTCCCTTGGTCCCCTGCCCAAGCCTCTCCCTATCTCTTCTGCATCTCATTTCCCTTGCTAATATCTTGTGCAGAGATATCAGCTAGGGTGTCACCTGGGGTTGACCCAGCTTACGGAACCAGAAAAACAGCTTTGCTTTAATGACTTGATGTATATATGTATATATGTGTATATGTATATGTATGTGTGTATATATATATATATATACACACACATATATATGTATGTGTATATATATATATACATATATACACACATATATACACACACCATATATACACATACCCATATATACACACATACACAACACACATATACACATACATATATACACACATACATACACATATACAATACATATATTCAGATACATATATATACACACACACACAACACACACACACACATTTTTAAAAATCCTTCCATATAAAGGGGCCTTGCCAATGGACCCAGCTCTAGACCTATTTTCTCTAGGTTATAGTGGAAATGGGTCAATACTGGGAGGGAAAGAGAAACTTTCCTCATACTCTAAAACAAGCATTGATTAAACACCTACTGTGTGCAAGACCTTGTACTTGGCCTGGGGGGACATGAAGATGACAAATAGGCTCTGCCCTTGAGAACCAAGGGAACACAGAGGACCTTGAAGGCCAAGTCATTCAATCCCCTCATTGTACAGATGAGAAAAATGAGGCCCAGAGCTGATGAATGATTTGCCCAAGGGTCACAAGGCTAGCCAGTGTCAGGGACAGGATTCGAACCCAGATCTTTCCTGACTTCAGCCCCGGGCTCCTTCTGCCCTCCCCAGGCAGTCCTTTGAAGCCAGATCCATTCAGTTCTGTGTTCTTCCTCCTAGACTCCCAGCTGAGGTGGACCCAGTGACAGTATTTGCTTCCCTCTCCCCTGAGGGCCTCCTGATCATCGAAGCCCCCCAGGTGCCTCCTTACTCTGCATTCGGAGACAGCACCTTACGCAACGAGCTGCCCATGGACAAGCACGAAGTCCCCTGCGCTTGAAGAGGCCTGCAGAAGAAGAGTTCTCCTTCTCTCCCTCTCCCTTCCTTCCCCCAGACCCAAGAGATTTCTCTCTGATTCCAGATGCAATTACATTAGCTCGATAGAGGTGTATGTTGGATAGAGAAGATTGTTTTTCTGCCTTTGTGATTGAGTGGGCCTCCCATCTGGAAGCATCCTTACCCAGAGTGCTTACCTACTGATTGCTGTCCTGCCCCGTCCTGAGGAGGTCTGGCCCTCAGCTTCTCCCAGGACAGAGAGCCGGCCCTGCACCACACCAGGTGGGCCAGCGATGACAGCCCAGCTGCTTGCTTCCAAACCTTGTACCCCTTTTCCCAGGACCCAAAGCCAAGCCCAGAAAAATCCCAAGGCCTAGCTCCTCCTATTCCCCAACTGCTCATTTCTCCTATCCATGTCCGTACAGGCCACCAGCCATCCCCCAGCCTCACAAAGATAATTTTTTAGAGGTCTTACATGCGTTAAGTGTTTATTTGTATATCAGACCTAAGTAGGGGGTGCCTTTTTTTGTTCATATTTGCTTTAAGTTAATTAGATATTTATGGAGATGGGCCTGAATGGGGGATTTTAGGACCCCCTCTGGTCATTTGTTGGCTAATTCTATCTCTGACCCCCTCCTCTGTCTAGTTCCCCCCCCCATTTTTTTTCCAGGTCCAGGTTTTCCCAGGAGGGAATTGCCAGGTTTGGACCTTGCTCTCCGGAGCTGCCAGGAACCAAGTACTAGCCAGACAGACAGAACTGACAAAGACAGGCTGGGAACTTTCCACAATGTGACAATGTCATGTGCTTGGGTGGGAACATTTCTGTATTATGCTGGGGTTTTTTTTTCAGTTGTGCTCTTGTTTGAGGGGAAAATAACTTTATGAATAATAAAAAGAAATTGATCTTCTTAGCCACGTGTCCTCATGCCTTTCCTAGATTCTGATCTAATGTTGAGGGTTGGGATTTGGCAAGAGCCAGGGAGGAAAAGGAAAAGATGTGTCAATTGATTCATTCAGGTGGAGCAGATAGGAACTGTGCTTTGTATCTAGGGAACTGTAACTAGGGTGGGGTGACCTGGGCTACACCCCAAGGGAGCCGATGACCCTTACTGTCCAAAAAGCAGCCACCTCTGCTAGCAGCCCATTCCATGTTGAACACCTCTAAGTGGTAGGAAGTTTTGCCCTGACGTCAAGCCTCCTTTTGCCTCTTTACCACTTCCACCCCTCACTTTTGTTTCTGCCCTTTGGGGCCAAAGAAAACAAGTCTAATCTCTTTTCCACATTCAAATATCTGAAGAGGGCCTCCCCTGTCTCTAACTCCTCGGGCCAAACATGAATTCACAAGCTGCATTCTGTCTTCACGTTCCTGAAGTTTTAATGCCACTGCATTTTTAAGAGCCTGAAAATAAACAGCTTTATTTTTATTTTTAAATTTTAATTAATTTTTAATATTTTTTCAAATTTTGAGTTCTAAATTTTCTCCCTCACTCCAGCCTTTCCCCCCACCCATTGAGAATGCAAGCAATAGGATATCAATTATGCATGTGAAGTGATTTAAAATGTTTAGTAGGTGTTCAAGTCACTTAATATCTCTGTGACTCAGTTTCCTCATCTATAAAACAAGGAGGTTGGAGTTGATGGCCTCTGAGGTCCCTTCAATATCTAAATCTATGATTCTAGACAAAAAATAAATGTATCTATGATTCTGACATCTGTGCATGTTGACCTTGGGTAAGTCACTTTTCTGGGACCTGAGTTTCCCAAGTGGAATCTATTATCCTATGAACTTGGTGCAGATTCTAGCTCTACCATTTATTACTGGGAAAGTCATTCCACCCCTTATGGACTCACTTATAAAATGAGGGCATTGGATCATACTGTGCCTCAGTTTCCCCACTTGAAACAAACAGGTTAGACCTGACTACCTCTCAGGTCCTTTCCAGCTCTTAATATATGACACTAATATGTTGCAGGATTCTCCAACTAACTTGGGAGGAAGGGAGGTCATTCATTCCCCAGTGGGGTAACCCTCTAGGATCTTGAGTCTAGGGTCTTCTAAGGGGTTTCAAGCTGAGACAGTGTGCCAATCACCTCTTGCTGAGCTCTCCTATGGAGGTGGCATCTCTCCCCATGAAGCCCCCTACTTATAGTACCCCTGCCCTAGTAAAGTAAGCTTAAAGCTCCCAAAGGAGAGAGACCTAATTGACCTAATCAGTTCCATCCTGGTATAGAGTGGTGCCAGTTACCTCCCCCTTGTTCTCCATTCAAGGAGCCCCCACCCCAGATCTTCAATCCCATCCAACCCCCCACCTCCCCAGGTGCAGAAGGTGATATATAGACATCACTTGATCTGACCCTGGAGGGAAGAAACAAATTAAGGTAGCTTAAAATAAATTCTGGGAATCAGTGGCTGTTTTGTCTCCCCCTGCTTCTCCCTGAGTGCATCTCAAACTCTGCATTACAGGGCAAAAATCAATACCCCCTTCTGACATGAGCCAGCACCTAGATCATCAGCCACCTCCTTATCTCTTAACCTTCAACTCCCTGGCTCACTCACAGAAGCCTCAGCTCATACACTCATCTCTATCTGCAGCCCTGTCCTGAACATTCCCGGAAGAGGGAGAAACCAGCTCCCTGCCAATCCTCCCTCCCCCAATCCTCCAGCAGCAGCTCAGAGCCAAGAAGGGTCCTGATGCCAAGAAACAGACACCATGCCGGGCTCAGACCTCAGTGCTCTGGGTTTCTGCCTAGCTGTGAATGCATAGAACAAATGGTGCTGAGTCACTCAGCCTGTTGGTCAGCTGGCTCCTTCCAAAGGCCAGGACCAAGGTCATTGCCTTGGTCAAAGACCTCCCCAGAGCCCCTGTGGCCACCCACGCTTCCTAGGGTAAGGTGAAGGTTGGTATGGGAAGTGGGGGTGGCAATGGCCCATAGAAGAAGAAGTAGTTGGATTAGAAGGGTGTTTTAGGACCCAGGAGATTTTGGATGCAGTGCTGATCAGAGGTCAAAGAATGAACATTGAGAATTGGTGGGTTTACACTGTTAAAAGTGATAGAATTGAAGTTGGAATGCCCTAGGTCCAAATCCTGCCTTTGATTTTTACTAGCTGTGTGATCCTGGGCAAGTCACTGAAACTCTCTGGGCTTCAATTTCCTCATCTGTAAAATGAGAAGCCTCTAGTTGCCTCCAAGGTTCCTTCTAGCTCTAGAAGGATGGGATCTTTAACTTCCCTGGATCTCAATGTCCTCGCCTCTAAAAATGGCTTCTTAGATCCCTTCCCACCCTAGGTCAAAGATCCAAGATCACCATAATTGAGCCTTTTAAAAGGTACCTAACATCACAGCCCACATTGGCCAGGTCTTCACACCCCGGAACTCAATAAGTCAACGGCAAAAACAGAGAAGGGGTAGTCCTGTATCTAGGACAAGGGAAGCTATGCACTGTGAAACTCAATATGCTCAGAAGACAACAAATCTGGGATTGTTGCTTTTGGGTCCTTTCAGTCATTTCTGACTCTCCCTCCATGTCTGATGTGATCCCATTTGGAGTTTTCTTGGCAGAGATATTGAAACTGTTTGTCGTTTCCTTCTCCATCTCATTTTACAAATGAGGAAACTGAGGCAAATAAGGGTAAGTGACTCATCCAGGGTTACACAGCTAGTAAGTGTCTGGCCAGATTTGAACTTAGGTCCTCTTTACTCCAGGGCCAGAAAATACTAGACCTAAGATCAAGAGCCATTCACTGGAGTTAAATGGTCAAAACAAAAAGGGTTTTAGAAGAAACAGTAAAAATGATCAGCAGACCTATGAGAAACAGTCTGAAGTACCAACGGAAGAAATACAAATCCTAACGCCTCACGCCTTTAGAATGGCAAAGATGATAAAAGGCAGAAGCAGTCATTGTTGGCAAGGCTGTGGAAAGACAGGCACCTTAACATGCTGTTGACGTTTATTAGCCGTAAATTGATCCAAACCTTCTTGGGGAAACTGTTTGGAACTATGTGAAAAAAAACTCACTTAATTGTTCATGTTCTCTGTCTCAGAGATTCCACTGCTAGGAATATAATCCAAGGACATTAAAAATGGAAAGACCCTGGATTACCAAAATATTCACAGAAGCAATTTTTGTGGTAGTAAAGAACTGGAAACAAAGGAAGTGCCTATTGGCTGGGGAATGGCTGAACAAATTTTGGTACATGAATATAATAGATTATGACTATGTCATAGTCATTTTTTTTTAGGCAATTGGGGTTAAGTGACTTGCCCAGGGTCACACAGCTAGTAAGTGTCAAGGGTTTGGTCTGAGGCCAGATTTGAACGCAGGTCCTCCTGACTTCAGGGCTGGTGCTCTATCCACTGTGCCACCTAGCTGCCCCACCATCATAGTCATTTTGTCAACAAGCATTACCGATGTGCCATAGAGAAGTAGCTAGTTGGTGCAGTAGAGTGCACACCAAATCTAGAGTCAGGAAGACTCATCTTCCTGAGTTCAATTCTGACCTCAGACACTTACTAGCTGCTTGACTCTGGGCAAGTCACTTGATCTTGTTTGCCTCAGTTTCCTCATCTGTAAAAATGATCTGGAGAAGGAAATGGCAAACCACTTTAGTATCTCTGCCAAGAAAACTCAAATGGGGTCAAGAGGAGTCAGACACAACTGAAAAATGACTGAATAGATGCTAGATATTGGAGATACAAAGACAGATGGAGAGAAAACACCTGTCCTCAAGGAACCCACATTCTAATGGCAGAGACCACATATAAATAACAGGAAATATATACAGAGTAAATGAAAGATAGCAGACAGAATGGCATTAATTAGCAGCTGGGGGGAGCAAAGAGGGAAGACTGGAAAAGACCTACTGCAGAGGGTGGGACTGGAGGGACATCAGGGAAACCACAAGGCAGAGATTAGGGGACAGAGCATTGCAGGCATGGAGACGGGATATGTCTGCAAGTATGGCTATGTCACAGAATTTAGGGAGGGGAGGAAAATGGAAGAAGACTGGAAAAGGAAGAAGGAGCTTTAAATGCCAAACAGAGCTAATATTTGATGGTGGAGGTAATAGGGAGCCACTGGAGTTCACTGAGCAAGGGAGAGGGTGGTCAGATATTTGCTTCAGAAAAGTCACCTTGGCAGCTGTGTGGAGTAAGGATTGGGGACGGGAGGGGGAGACAGGTCGAGAAAACTAGCTAGAAGGCAAAAAGTCTAGCCAGGGGGTAGCAAGATTCTGAGTTAGAGTGGTGGCCATGTGGGTGGAGAGAAGGGAACATAAAGGAGAGATATGAAAATGGCAAAATGTTAGAAATGCTGACATTGGGCAATGGATTGGAATTATCCAGTCAGCTCACATTAA